AGGTTACGGTCCAGGCTGCTGCATACAGTTGTACAAGCATTTTGTGTGATGGGTCCCCTCAAAGCAGAGCTTCAGACCACAAGTTGCTCGATCCTTTGGGACCCTTTGACGACTCTCATGAAACGTGTCTCAGCATCTTCCATGGAGGCTGGTGGAGAGGGCAGAGCATTTATTCACTGGCCCACTTCTCCCATTGGTCAAGAGCTGCCTCACAGAGCATTACGAAGTCCCCCCTCCTGTTCCCTCCTGTTCCCCCTCCACAACCAGCCCCACACATCAGCCTTGCACACGTGTGAGTGCCAGGAAGGTTCCTGTGGGCACCCCCATGAAGGGAATCACAAAAACCCCAAAACAGGAAGGGAGAGGCCTGGGGTGTAAGGCGAGGCACCATTTAGGGGCATCTGTGTGAAACTGGGTGACATCTACGCAGAACTGGTCACTGCAGTGGTGACTGAAATAAGAGGAGGGGTCAGGAGGACTTGAAGAGATACACAACGTGTCCACTACCCCAGCACATTCAGTCAAAGGGATTAGGGGGGCTGAAATTCATCCTGTGCTCTGCTCTCCACGTCGTGCACCCTGGGGCAGGCTGCAACTACCTGGAGGAAGGGGCTTGCTTCTCTCATTCACACAAAGATGCCAAATGGGGTAGCAAAAGCCCTGGTTTTCCCTCAACACGTGTTGTACATCAGGCTAGAATCTTAACTCTAATCTTCAAAAATGTAAAACAAACAAGAAATAGAAAGAAAAGGCATTCAAATTGGAAAAGAAGAAGTAAAATTATCTGTTTGCAGGTGACATGATCTTACATGTGGAAAACCCTAAACATTACACACACACACACACACACACACACACACACAAACCTACTGTAAAGTTGTAAGATAAAAAATCAACACACAAAAATCAGTTGCAGGGGCCAGCCTGGTGGTGCAGAGGTTAAGTTCGCACGTTCCGCTTTGGTGGCCCAGGGTTCGCTGGTTTGGATCCCTGGTGTGGAACTATGCACCACTTGCCAAGCCATGCTGTGGCAGGCATCCCACATATAAAATAGAGGAAGATGGGCACAGATGTTAGCTCAGGGCCAATCTTCCTTAGCAAAAAGAGGAGGATTGGTAGCAGATGTTAGCTCAGGACTGATCTTTCTCAAAAAAAAAAAAAATCAATTGCATTTCTATACACTAGCAATGACCAATCTAAAAATGAAATTAAGAAAATAATCCCATTTACTATAGCACCAAAAAGAATAAAATACTTAGGAATAAACTTAATCAAGAAGGTAAAAGACTCGTACACCAAAAACTACAAAATCTTGCTTGAAAAAAATCAAAGATACAAAACAAAGGACATCCTGTGCTCATGGATTGGAAGACAACGTTAAAACATCTGTACTACCCAAAGTGATCTATAGATTCCATGCAATCCCTATCAAAATCCCAATTACATTTTCTGCAGAAAAAGAAAAAAAATTCCTAAAATTCATATGGAATCTTAAGGGACTCTGAATAGCCAAAACAATCTTGAAAAAGTACAAAGCTGGAGACCTCATACTTTCTGATTTCAAAACATATTACAAAGCAACAGTAATTAAGATGGTATGGGGGGCCGGCTCCATGGCCAAGTGGTTAAGTTCACGTGCTCCACTTCGGTGGCCCCGGGTTTCGTGGGTTCGGATCCTGGGCGCAGACTTGGCACTGCTCATCAAGCCATGCTGAAGCGGCATCTCACATAGCACAACCAGAGGCGCTCACAACTAGAATATACAACTATGTACTGGGGGGCTTTGGGAGGAGAAGAAAAAAGAAAAAAAATATTGGCAACAGTTCTTAGCTCAGGTGCCAATCTTTAAAAAAAAAAAAAAAAAGGTGGTGTGGTACCAACATAAAGACAGATACATAGACCAAGGGAAAAGAATAGAAAGCTCAGAAGTAAGTCCTTGCATATATGGCCAAAGAATTTTCAACGAGACTACACAGTGGGGAAAGGGTAGACCCTTCAACAGATGACGGGAAAACTGGATACCCACAAGCAAAAGAAGGAAGTTGAACCCTTACCTTACACCAAATGCAAAAATTAACTCAAAATGGATTAAACACCTAAATGCAAGACCTGAAACTATAAAACTCCTGGAAAAAAATACAGGAGAAAACCTCCAGGACATTGGATTCGGCAATGATTTGGATATGACACCAAAAGCACAAGCAACAAATGCAAAAACAGACAAATGGGACAACATCAAACTTAAAAAGTTTACATCATGGAAGACAATCAACAGAATGAAAAGGCAACCTATAGAATGAGAGAAAATATTTGCAAATTACATATCTGATATACATAACTTGATATCTAGAAAAATATAAGGAACTTCTACAACTCAACAACAGAAAAACAAATAAACTGATTACAATATGGGGAAAGGACTTGAATGGACAACTTTCCAAAGAAGATCTAGGAATGGCTAACAAGCATAGGAAAAGATGCTCCACATCACTAATCATAAGACAAATGCAAATCAAAACCACAATGAGATATCACCCCACAGCCATTAGGATGGCCACTGGTAAAAGAACAGAAAATAAAAAGTGTTAATGAGGATATAGAGAAATTGGAACCCTTGTGCACTGCTGGTGGGAATGTAACATGGTGCATCCATTATGGAAAACAGTATGGAAGTTCCTCAAAAAACGAAAAATAGAACTACCATATGATCCAGCAATTCCATCTCTGAGTACACATCCAAAAGAATTCAAAGCAGGATCTCCAAGAGATATCTGCACATCCACGTTCACGGCAGTATTATTCACGATAGCCAAGAGGGGGAAGCCACCCAAATGTCCATCGACAGATGAATGGATAAAGAAAACATGGCATATACATACAATGGAATATTGATGCAGCCTTAAGAAAGAATGAAATTCTGTCACATGCTGAAACATGGATGAACTTGAGGACATTATGCTGAGTGAAATAAGTCAGTCACAAAAGGACAAATAGTATGTTTCCACTCATATGAAGTATCTAAAGCAATCAAACCATAGAAACAGAAAGTAGAAAGGTGGTTGTCAAGGGCGAGGAGGGAGAGAGAATTAGTGTTTAGTAGGTATAGAATTTCAGTGTTGCAAGATGAAAAAGTTCTAGAGACCTGTTGCACAACAATATGAATACAGTTAAACTACTGAACTGTTCGCTTTAAAATGGTTAAGATGGAACATTTAACATTATGTATTTTTTTACCACAATAAAAAAAAAGCAAAAAAAAAAAAAAACAAACCTAAAACAACACCTAAAAAAATTAACTCAGGATTTTTGAGGAAATAAAACAATTGATAAGAATGACTGAAGTGACATCCTGTAATGAGACTTATACACACTTCGCTCTCCATAAACACATACAACAAACTCTAAAGGGCACAGAGCATGTTTTGATATCATCTCTGGCTCCTCTTCTCTAAAATTCTTAGCGGGATGAAGGGACTAGTTAGGGCTCAATCTCGTTTCTCTCTCTAACTCACGATATGCCTATGCCACTCGGTCATTTAGATTTCTACTTCTTGCTTTGGGATCCTCAGGAGTGATTTCAGGGAGTTAGCGCTGCTTCTCAGCTTGTTCACATAAATTCTTTTAAGACTGAGTTTTTATCAGCTGATTATGATGAAAGGCTTTGTCCATTAACGGCTGCAAAATTCTGGCACAGCTGTGAATTGCAGAGCTCTGTCCTCCATCTGTGGGATCTGGAGTCAGGTTATCCTTCCTGCAGATCACCATTTTGCATGCTGTGACTAAGTGTGTGTGTGGTTTTGAAGCTATTTTAGTTGTTAAGAATCAGTTCCTACTTGGAATGAAAGCTGGAAATAAATTCTCTGTTGACTGTGTTACTATGAAACATTCTTCTCCACTTCTTGCTTCTCGCTCTCCTGCCAACAGTTACTTAGGAGTTAGGACAAGCCTACTTCTCCTCCAATGTTGTGTGAGTTGCCACAAATTGTCCAAAGTGACATAGACAATAATAGCAGGGTCCAGAACTAGAATCTAGTTTTTCTGATTACACACAAGATGCTCTTTCAACTATACTTCCTGGCTATAGTTATTGGTTAGTAATTCCAATTTTCCAAAAGTTTTAAGTTTAAAAGATTCTTTTCCTTAAATTATTTTCAAAGTCTAATAGTAAAAGAAAAAACTAACCAAAATAATAACATTCATTATCACAATTTTATAAATGCAAGAACAGAGAGGAAAACTAACATTTATTGAGCATATACTATTTGATAGACCTATACAGACTTTATCTCATTTAATCCTCACTACACTGGAGGGTATTTATTATTAGGTAGGAATTTTTCTTTGCACTTCACAGAGCAGGGGACTGAGGCTGAAATAATTCAAGTAATTAAAGTATATTTGTTCAGATTATAGCCTGGCTCCCATCCCTCATTGGTCAAAGATTGTCTCATGCAGTGTTACTCTCTTGCACTTCCAGTCTGTGCATCTGTCACAGTGACTCAGCAGGTTCCTTAAGATAGCCCACACAGCAAGAACAGAGAAGTCACAGGCCAACAAGAGATGCACAGTACAGCTGAGGCAGGGCCTTGCCAGGTTACACCTACACATCTCGTTGCTGATGCCAACTGGGGCACAAGAGGTGTCCCATGTACCCACTAACTACAAGCACATGTCCATATAGTCTGTACATCCTCTTAATTCTAGCCCTCACACAGCTCTCAAATTGTACCGCCCTCTTCTATGGGCCTATTGACTGCTACATAGTACCTAATAAGTGCTTTAAAATATATGAAAACAAGCAGAATCTTTGGAGAAGATATTCCCTCTTGCATAGAGGGAATGAGTAACTGAGTGATGAGTGGACGGTGGCTATAACTTATCATGGTAATTTTTATATTTAAAACATAGCCTGTTGTTGAATTGAAAAGGCAATAAATACCGACTACTCATTAAGCAAACATTGACTTCTAGTGCATCAGGCAGAACCAGAGTAAATAAAATCTGGGACAATCAGCTCTTCTTTTATTCATTTACTAACTGGAAATCTTAACCCCAACCAATTTCAATTTCACATCTTCACTAGAGATTATAAAAAACAATAAAAATTTCTACCAATTCCCAAACACATCAAGCTGTATACATTAAATATCTACAGTTTTTTGTCAATCATACGTCAATAAAGTATTTTTTAAAAATCTTTATCAATTATTTAATTCCTCAGGAATTAAATTTCAAATAGAATTCAAAATTTCAATAGAATTTATGGCCAGTCTTAAGAAATGTTACATCATAAGACTATATTTTCACATTCTGAACTCATCCTAATCCTGTAGTTTCAGCATTTAAAAGTTTTAAGAGATTAGAAAAATACCATTGTATCGGTTAGCTTTTACTACATAACAACACTCCAAAATGTAGTGTCTTAAAATCACAACATTTAGTATTTTCCATAATTCTCCGTGTTGGAAAGAATCCAATGCACACTTTCCAAGTGGTAGTTCTGGTCTGGGTCTGCTCAGCTGATGTGTGCTGCTCACTCACACATCTAGGCGGCTGGCAGTTCAGCTGGCATCATGTGGTCTAGCATAGCCTCAGTGTTATCTCTGGTGGTTGGCATATGTTAGTGGAGCGACATGGACATGACTGCGTCTCTCTCTTCATGCAGCAGAGTAGCTCAGGCCATTCACAAGGCTGTCTCAGGGTTCCAGGTACAGCAAGACAGCAAGCCCTAACGCACAGCCCTTCTCAAGCATCTACGTGCAGTACATTTGTTCATGTGTTGAGGCCAAGCAAGTCACAGGGTCAAGTCCATGTTTACTGGGTGGAGAAAAAGAATTAAACTCCTGATGGGAAGACCATAAACTCACATTGCCAAAGGGCATGCACACAGGGATGAAATAATTTGTGGCTATTTTTGCAATCTATCACAACCATTTTTTGCTTACTCTACAACATACTCTAGGAACTTCCTCCTAATTTAAGCTTAAAGGAATCATAAATATAATGAGTCATATGTATGCCATACATTCAAAAAAAGAAGCATTTTGCTGCTTCTTTTCTTTAGAGGTGGTCCTAAAGCACAATGCAGGAAGGATATTCAGGGGCTTCGAGCACCTAAAAGGGGTGGGTCCGTGTCTGCCTCTTTTCTGTATCCCCAACAGTATGGTAACTATCTGAATGAATGAATGGTTTGTTATCTAAATCTACTAACATCAAAACAGCAAGGAAAAAAAGCATAATAAGAGTTGCTGATTCTCACAGATCTTGAATTTCATGACTTTCTAAGAATAAAAAGGGGGGAAATTACATAAAATTAGAATATACAATAATACACTGAGACACACTTTTCAGTTTAATTTTCTTGATTTCTAGATTTTGAACTTTTTCTTCCATGTTGTTTATAAATAAAATAGAAAAAAAGAATTAAAGGGCAAAAAACCAAGCCGGTGCATTTTTCTTTCAAGGTTCTACCTAGCAGGAAGATATTTACTTGCAAGGCACATCCCTTATATGCTAATACTTGTCAGCCCTTCACTTAAAGGGCTAAAGGAAATGGAACTTGGGGAAGGCAGAAACCTGCCCTGCACAGAATGTATTCCATGTAGGATTCTTCAGATTCTGGCCCTGGTCAGAATCTTCCTTCATGATGGCAATTCTTCCTTTGGATCGCGTGTGCGGCAAGTAACAGTAGGCTTGTAAATGATCCTTGTCCATTACATATGCCTCTTTGTTAACCGTTGGTTTAACACAATCACCCAGGAGGGAGGAGACAGGCAGAGAATAAAGTAGATCTGCCTTTGTTGAAATATTGATTTGTTTCTGGTGATCTCTAGCTATTGGGTTTTATCACAAGAAACAGTTCCTAAGAAAAAACATTGAAAACGGATTCTCTCCAAAGAGAAAGAAAATGTACTCCCCAAAATGGTGTAGGAGGAAGTATGTTAATATACTTACCAATGAACCATAAAATCAATACTCTCTCATCAAAATCATCATGGGTCTTAGGAGAAATCCGTGGACCAAAGACACTCACGCCCACAGATGGTGGCTTTTAGGAAGAGACTCTGCTCCGACTCTTCCTCTTTCCCTCTTGTGTTGGTTCTCTATGGGATTGAAGGAGACTTGGGAAGGAAGAGAAGATTTCTCAGCGAGCTTCTAAAGGACTTGATTCAGACCACAGCGGCAGCTTGTTTTACAGTTTTCAGAGTTGTCTCTCTTCCCTTTCTATACCACATGACCTTCCAGGTTCCTGCACTCCCAGATTTCCCTTTGTTGCTCATAGAAAGTGACTCCGCCCCCCTTAACCTTCTAGCTTCCTTTACCTCCTTCCTGTAACCACCTGGGTCGCATCAGTTCTTTCCCTCTACTCCTGCCCAGCTTCTCCCAACCCAGTCAGGGGCATCCATCAGCAATTCTCCTGAGAAGCACAGGCTCGCATCTGAACCCCAGGCACAGCCTTCCAGCTCATACCTACACCTCTTACACTGTACTTAACTGCCGATCTCAGCTCCTCCCCTCCCTTCCTCCTCTCTTTGTGGACTGAAGTGAAAATAGCAGAAGAGACAGCACTTACAGATTCCCAAAAGGACAGGGGGAGGTGACCCACAGAAGGCAGTGAGAATGTGGTCTCTGGGTGGAACCTGAATGTTGGTGAAGACTTTGGGCTTGCAGGAGGCACTGAAAAAGCAGAAAGAGACCAAATAACGTGCTACTGATGGCCTCACTGCCTACCTCATTGTCTTCCTCCCTCAGACGGGGTCTGCTGGGCCTTTTTCGGTTTGCATCCTAGATATGCGATGCTTTCAGAACAAGAGTGCTCATGGACCTCCAACACAGAACCAACCATCCAAACAGGATTCATAAAAATTACTTGATATTTCTGGCATGTGGACAGTGCCGACTCAGCTTCTCCCTATACATATATTCACTTGATCATTTTGATGGAATTTGGTAGATGGGGAACCAACAGTGATGTCTTGCTGGGAAGAACCAACACGTTTTGCAAAAGACAGATTCACTGTTTCCACTTCCTCAGTTGTCCATTAGCATTGGCCATTACATTTGTGACTTCATTTCAGCCCTGAGCTTTTTCAGGCTCCCTGCCACTTGTGACCCCTCCGATCGTCTATTCTTCATTCACGCATTCATTTAGCAAATGTTTACTGAGTGTCCTTTACATGCCAGGTGTTATTCCGGGTTGTTGGAATAGACACAGCAATGAACAATACAGACAAAAACATGTGTGAAGTTTACATCCTTATAAAATCTATTTGAACATTTTGACATTTCCCTTCTCCCATTCTTCTTTCTCGAACCTTGCTAAGCACTACTTTCCTTTTCAAAAATTACTCCTTTCCCTCTCAATCATAGATCCTCCTTTGGCCAAATTCATCCACTTCCATGGCTCCAACCGTGACCTCTAAACACTCCAAATTCCAACCTCTCTCCTGGGATCCTGGACAAACTTTCCAGTTACCAAGAGAAGGGACCTGGAGTGCTCTCCTGCCTCCCGGGGTGAAGGAAGTTCTGCTTTTCCCCATCCCACAGTACTGCACCTCAGTCTCACCAAGGTGGTTTGTTTTCCAGGATTCAGATTGAAAACTAAATTCACGTTTTATATAAACAGGGGTATATACATTTATGTTTGCTCATATAGTCAGCATCCAGTTTATGCTGCAAGCTTGATAAAGAAAATTATTCAACTAGATTCAATAAACATGTACTGAAAACCTACAATGAGCAAAACACTGTATTTGGTCTGGGGACATACAGGCAAAGGGTAGATTTAGCTTAAAGAGAAGACAAAGCTTAGGAGATACGTGCCTTAGGAGGGACATTCACATCACTTGCCAAAAAATGAGTTTGTGATGAGGATGTTTGGTTTGAAGGGCTAAAGGGAGCATAAACATGATAGTTTGTGAGAACTTATGACCAACGAGATTTCCAGAAATTGAGACACTCCAGACAATTAACATAGTCACAGGAGGCATGTTGAAACTCACTGGTTTTTTTCCTAATAAAATATAAAAAATTATTCTTGGTCAGTAGAGCAGACTATCTAAACCATTCCTACATCTAATTAGGGTCTAGGTAATATCTAAAAAAGCAAGGGCTCATGATTATAAAAGGAAAAGGGCTTATGAAAGAGCTAAGTGTTTTTATTTGGATAGTAAAATATTGGATGTTGTTTAACTATGTAGCACGTTTTCAAAATCCGAGCTGCTTCTTAATCCAATACATTTCTGATGTTTTAATTCATCTTCACTCCATCATTTTACAATGCCCAAAACTACAATTTATCCCAACTATTTTTCAAATTTATAACGTATGATTACTGACATGCCACAGAGTTCATATTTCGCTTAATGTTTCCCTGAAGCTCAGGAGAGTACCACAACTCATCCTACAAAAACACCTTACCTCTGTTCCAGGGCACATTGCTATTGTCCGAGCACTTTTACACACACAAAAGATTCCATCCTCCCCCGACCCTGTGAGGAAAGTAGAAGAGACACCCTGATCCCCATTTTACAGGTAAGGAAACTGAGGCTCAGACAAACTAAGGAAATTGCCCCAAATCCAAGGATAGTAAGTCGAAAAATCCTTGCTCTGAGTTTTCTGACTTTTGACCTTTTGCTGTTTCCACTATCCCACTGTACTTCCTATCTTTCTGTGCCCCCAGTTGCTGTGCAGTGGCCAGAAGATGCCTGTCTCTACCCAAGGATAATTATCAACTGTGGCTCACACATTCCCTTCACGCTCCTCTCACTTCCCATAAATGCCAGCCAAACTGTACCCAGACATTATGCAGACATAAAAAGTATGAAAACAATCTGTATGAGCCAGTGACACAGAGATACTAAAAAAAATAGTCCAAAGTGTGCTCATAGATAAATATGTTAGCATCTGTCCTCCCGCTGTCCCTAGACTTGCTCCCAGTGGGAACTACAGCTCTGGGGAGAAGTGAATTTCAGGACCACTATGCCTTGTTCTGTGACTAATGAAAGGAGGAGAGGGCACTTCTCTTTCCACACATCTCTCAATGAAGGAGCGAAATAGATGCAAGAGATTGGCATGGGTCCCTGCCTCCCATCCTGTGCTCCCTCCACCCATCCAAAGGGTATAAAAATTTTAATATTCTTGATACACGTTGCAGAATCATGTTGTCAATCATGCTTTGATAGGAAGCTGATTTCTCGAGTAAGGCACATAACATATTCTGGAGGCATCTGAAATTTTTCACAGTAAAACTTGACTAGCTGAGAAAACATCATAATAGTGTTACCCATCCCTAACTTAAGTATTAAAATGTTAGGGGTGAAACTCGAGATATCTAGGAGAGATAGTTTAGGGGACGTAGGAGCATATCTTATCCACGTCAGGCCTCTGTGTGGAAAGCCCCAAAGAGAGTCTCCTCTTATAATAGAATATTTTTCCATCAAAAAAGAGGATTTGAGTCCCTGAAATAAGCTTTTGAAATTTCATTATTTCACATACTAAATACAGAAGTGTAACATAAAGATCATCAATTTCTTCGCATATAAGATTTTAAATGATATGAGATTGTCTTTCCCCCTTGATCAGCAGCATGTCCTCAGTTCTTTACTCATGTGCAGTGCCTTCCTCTAAAAAAGAGAATGAAATCCTACTCTGGATGGGCTTCTTGTGATTGTGATGTTAGGTAATTGAGAATGGGCTAGAATGATGGAAGGCAGTAGTTCATAGATGGTGAACACTCCATGATGGCAAAGGCCTAGAGCCTAATGATGACATTGGATGGGGAGGTGGAGCGAAAGAGAAGCTCATTGAGGATGAGGAGATCAAAGACTAAGATGACAGACTGCCAGATGGTCATGCATGTGGATGTAGATGCTCCTAAAGTGATGGCAGGGATAGCGTTGAAGGAAAGACCGGGAGCCAGTGCCCAAACTTTAGTGAAAGAACGGAGAGATAAGCAGGTGCACAACAACAATATCAGGGGAGAGAGGTGACACAGGCAGAGAGCATTAACTTCAAAGGCTCAGGACATTTACACGAGCGTTGAGGGGTACACGTCTAGAAGCTGCAGTGACATGGAAAGAGGACTGCAAACGGCTTCCACAGTCCACCACCCAGGGAATGCAGGAAAGCCAGCAGCCTGCATTTGAAAGGGCTGCAGATAAAGCACTATCCTTACAAACAAGCCAAGCTCCAGGGAAGGCAAGGAGAGGAGGGGGGAAAACGGGAGAAAGGCTGAAAGCACAGAAGAGATTGTAAATAAACCACTTGGCGAAGAATTCTAGAGAAAGCAACAGGAAGATGAGAGAGGGAAGAGAGGGAGAGAAGAGGGAGGAGAGATTGGATCAGAGGAGAGAAATCTCAGGGAACCATTGAGAGTAAGGGGGAAGATAAACACTCACTGATTTACATTCTGGCGATGACCAAGACCAACGGCATACCAACTTAAATAAACATATCTTGACAATAGCCTAATGTTGAAGGCTGGAAGGGAAGTGGAACAGCAACTATATGAGTTCCTCTGGATGATGGGTAGGAATGAGTTATGCGGCAGTGGTTCTCAACCCTAAACGCACATTAGAATCTCCTGAAGAGGTTTTATAAAATACAGATATCCAGGCCTCATTTCCAACCAATTAAATTAGACTCACTGGGAGTAGACTCGAACACTGTAACTTTTTGGCAACAGTCTTCTTTTTAAGATCCCCAGGTACAGCCAGGGTTGAGAACCACTGACTTAGGGCAGTGGTTCTTAGTGTTGATCCTGGACTATCAGTTTCACCATAATCTGGGAATTTACCAGAAATGCAAATTCTCAGGCATCACCCAAGACTTACTGAATCAGAAATCTAGGGGTGGGGCCCAGTAATCCTTGTTTTAACAAGCTCTCTGGGTGACTCTGATGCATGCTAAGGTTTGAGAACCGCTGGTATGTGGGATGTGGTGGGACAGGGTGGGGCTCACCTGCTACACAGAGCTACAGCTGTGTTTTTAATTTTCCTTCATGGGCATCAGAAGTTATATTCCCATCAGCATTTTATGAGAATTCTTACTGACAAAATCTTTCTACATGTAATTTTTGGCAGTTCAACAGGCAAAAGAACCCAAAACACAACCAAAAAAATACTGTTTGTCTTACTTAAGACTGAACATTTTTCATATGTTTACAGTTAACATAAATCTTGCATGCTACAGTTCAAACTGATTTCTTTAATTTTAGTCTAAAATAAAAATAGAGATCAGCCAGTTACCATCGGCTGGAGCGGCAAACACACGGAAGAGGTGCGAGAGGGGAATGCTCCATCCTGTATCCTTTATGAAGACTCACAGGACAAAGACAGGGTTTTACTTACCAACTTTCAACCCAATGATATGAACATACACAATGACATTTGTTTATAGTTTCTGTTTTTATGAAAAAAAAAAAAAGAAAAAAAGGACAGGGAGCCACTCTCAAAAACAATTGAGGGGAAAGAAAACTAAGAGGAAATTCCCCAAACTTGACAAGTTTAAGTATTGGCAGTACGTGAAGTAGAAT